AGTGTGATGGGGTATGGTGGGTGTGACAATGGGTGAATTAGTGTGATGAGTGTGACATGATGGGTGAATTATTGTGATGGGGTATGGTGGGTGTGACAATGGGTGAATTAGTGTGATGAGTGTGACATGATAGGTGAATTATTGTGATGTGATGTGGTGCCACGTGTTTTGGTGGGTCTGACCACGCGATGGGATGTGTGAATTAGTGCGATGTGATGTGATATATGTTTTGGAATGTGTGCTGTGCTGTGGTATCGTTACTTGTAATTTTTGGAATTTCGTGGGGTCGAAAACACCTTATATTTTACCGTCTTTGAGTGGGCAGTCTTCCTTGACGCAGTACCTCATGTTCTATATAATAAGAATAATGATAATGAATACATTTACGAAGTGTAGGTACCGGTAGTAAAATAGAGAACAAGTCTAACCTTTGGCTCGGCGTACTCGTATCCTGTTTTTGCTACAAATGATCCTGGACTTTGTTTCTTGTTCGATCGGTTCAAGTCACACATCCAACTACCATTCTGATGTTTGTAAATGTTGATGGAAAAACAAGCGAGAGTTTCTTGGCAGACTGACATACAATCGGGTTTGAAGAGAGGTAGGGTCTTGATAAAGTGATCTACCAATACATAACCATAGTCACTGTAAAAAGGCGCGAAACTTGGACAGAAGTTACTAGTCACTATAGTAGCCATGGCAACAGCCAAGATGCCAAGAAGTTGTAGCAACATGAGGAATCAAAAAAGTTCTGTGAACAATTAAAAAAAAAAAAAATGAAGAGAGAAGACTGCTTGTCGTGTTCGGTTTTTTCACATGCATTTCTTTGTTTTTTTTAACAAGACGTAATTTAAGGCTTTTAAAAAGATTCCCCGAAAAGAATTGTGGAWTTTAGCTTCGAAGATAATCTAGATCAGATAATCTATAGATCGTGACTTCAAGCATCCAATCAGATTCAGTTTTCAGCATATTTATAAATTTCGCTGGATGCGCGTTGATTTAAATTTTCAGATAACCAACTACATAGGAAAAGGTGTTTGAGCGTAAGAAGTTAGTTTAAAGTTTAACCAGTAGTGAAGTAGTGAAGATTTTGTGTTCAACTATAGGTTGATGACTTTAAACATGAGGGTAAGTATAGGTACGTATATGTTTTTTGTTTTTTGTTTTTTTGCTCAAAAACTTGTATACAACTATTAAACTATATTACGCTCTACAAAGTTCGTGGAAGGGAATGATAAAAACGAACTCTTTACCTGAAAATAAGACCACTATAGTTATCTCCAAATGCTAATGCAAATTCTTCCGAATGGCCTTCATCCCGGCTAAATTTGAGATACCCACCGCTGAACAAAGATTATTTTAATAAAAGTATCGGTTTTCCTACTGAAATCTTACCTTTGATTTTGAAATTGCCATTTCGCATAACTAAAAATATCAAACTCGCCATGTTTCAGTTTAAAATTATCCACAATATCATTCCTAACAAAGCTACTCTGTTTAGAGACGGCTTGCAGAGAGTGATGGCTGTCCGTTATGCACAAAGAAACAAGACTTATTTCATCTCTTCTTTAAATGTCGTTTTGTCCAGTGTGGAACTTTTCCAGAACTGACAACTAGTTGTTTTTTTTCCAGACCGACTACTGAAGAGAGATTTTAGGAGCAGCTACCTCTGTCCCCTAACCAGAGAAATCCGAAACCAATAACACAACTAGCTTAGGGTGGTAGGTTTGTAATACCTAATACAAAGATAAACACCAGGGCTCAGTTAGTCAAAGCCCGATTAGTGCTAATCCTGGGTTAACTCTTAATATGACCTATAGAGTTAATCCTGGATTAGCGCTAATCCAGCTTTGAACAAGCCGGCCCGGCTAAATAAAAAGGACCAATATCCCGTCATGCCGGGGTCTTTATCACCTGCTTCGTATTTATATCTCATAACCCGTCATGCCCTGGGGTCTTTATCACCTGCTTCGTGTTCGTATCTCATATCCCATCATGCCGCGGGGTCTTTATCACCTGCTTCGTGTTCGTATCTCATATCCCGTCATGCCGCGGGGTCTTTATCACCTGCTTCGTGTTCGTATCTCANATGCCGCGGGGTCTTTATCACCTGCTTCGTGTTCGTATCTCATATCCCGTCATGCCGCGGGGTCTTTATCACCTGCTTCGTGTTCGTATCTCATAAAGTGCAGTTATTTTTATACACGCAGTCAACATTTTCTATTGACTGAATTTCATAACTTATTCTCATACTCATTAATAATTCATGAGTAAACCAGCCAATTAATGGGCTATTTTTGGGTCACATGATGTTACTTGAAACCTGGTAAAGTGCTGTGAAAGGAATGCATTCAGTCTGGAGTAACTGGAACAAAATTAATTCAGTCCTAGTAACTGGAACAAAATTAATTCAGTCCTAGTAACTGGAACAAAATTAATTCAGTCCTAGGACTGAATTAATTTTGTTCCAGTTACTCTAAGTCGAATAATTAATGAGATGAGAAGTCATTTCAAAGCCTCCAATATCGGACTGGACGGGATTTCAAGTCCGCGCAATTAGTTCCAGTCCTCGGCTGCGCCTCGGCCTGGAACTAATTGCTTAGACTTGAAATCCCGTCCAGTCCTCATTGTTGGCTTTGAAATATTACTTCAAATACAGAAAATTATGCTGACAGTATAATGACATTTATGTCGAAACATACTGTTGTTAGCCGATCCGGTAATCCAACTAGATTAATCCGTATATCCATGTCAAGTCGACCAATAGGGTATGATTACTGTTATTTCGTAGCAGTACTTAAGGCGCGTCTTACTACCACGAGGCCTCTTTCCTATTATTCTCGCAGTAAAGCAAGTTCTCTTAAAATTACTATTACACCCTTACTGTGTAAGTTATGGCTGAAAAGCGCATTCTTATTCTGGGACTATTCCTATATTCGTCGCCTCCACGACTTCATCGAACTTAATTCCGATCTTAGCCTATATTTTTACTGCGAGAATAATGTAATTGTAAGGTGGCACGGGGTTGGGGGCAGAACTCTCAAAAAACTTGTCCATTATGACCTATGCATGTTGTAGAGTCTTTTCGTCCCCACATTGTTATCTTACAATCTTACCCCTGTTCTAGTGGGTTCTGGTATTGAGGACCTATAGTTCGATTATTGCAAACTAGTGCGTCGCGATGCAAGGCTTGGACGTTAGTTAAACTTTAGTCTAAATAAATTTACAATTTCGACATAAATAAAAAGCCGGCAAGATACTTCAAAACATACTTTTATTTACCAAAAAAAAAAAAAAGAATAATAATCGAATACTACAAACAATGTATATCCCCCCCCCCCCCCCCCCCCCCAATTTCTTGTTTTCATTTTCACAAGTAAATATTACGTTTGTTTCCTAGAAATATGAAACTACTATTTTTAGGATATATTGCAGTGAAAAGTTTGTAAAACTGAGTATATTTCAATTAAGGCCTTGAAATATTATGTGGGCATTCGTTTTCCTTCCAACTGTCAGATAATTGCTTTCATGTACTTGGTTAATAAATGGGACACGGTATTGTCATATAATAGCTCATGGGTATTATTGACCTTATGTATGTGTCTGAAGTCGTCAGTCCATAATAAAACTTCACTGTTTTGAAATCGATTGTGAACACCGACGGCACGAAAGAAAATGCTTCAGAAAATTATATCATAGTAGTAATAAGCTATGACATATCAATCATGCATGATCTCATTTTTTGCCATTAGATTTTTTGTCCTCAGTTGTTGTATAAAATATATTATTTTATTTTATTCATTGACGCCATAAGTAGCAACAGCAAATTATTTTAGTTCTTTAGTACTAGCCACATATATAACATCATTAGCTTCAGTATTCATCGATGTTTTAGTTAATGTGGCTGACTACTTTTGAACGTTCGATTTGAGCCCACGATGTGTGCGTGCTCAAAACCGCGCTGAATAATCTTCACGATTTTGTTAAAAACCCAGATCGAATAAATAACTACCCAACAGATGATTTGGAGTGGGATGGCGTGGAGTTCCCGATGCAGTTGATAGATATTCCCATATTTGAGGAGGAGAACGACCTAGCCATCAACGTTTACGGAGTTAGAGAGCAAACCATAGTACCGTTAGTGTTGTCAAAGAGTGAAGGAGAGCGCATACACCTCTTCTACCACGGTGGTCACTATTCATGGATTAAGCACTTGAGCAGACTATTCTACAGACACACGAAGCACAAAGGTAAAAAGTACTTCTGCGACTGCTGCTTGTTGTCATTTACTTCCTTAAAATCCCTAGAAAAACATGATGAGATTTGCCGCGGAGTAGAAGAAGTCGCACAGAGAATACAGATGCCCACGGAGAAGGAATTGTCATACGAGGATTACCGAAAACAAACCAAGGTGCCGTACGTGATATACGCAGACTTTGAAGCGATAATTACGAAAGAAGACCAGAAGAATGGTGCTACAAAAAGACTGGGATTGCATGAAATTTGCTCTTACGGTTACATAGTCGTCAGATACAATGGTAAAGCAGACCCACCAGTCATTTACCGCGGTAAGAACGCAGCAAATAAGTTCTTAGAAACCCTACAGGAGGAGGAGGAGGAAGTAATAAGAGAGCGCCTGCACCGCAAGAAGAAGGTGGCATTCGACAAAGAAAGCCAAGCCGCGCATGCAAGTGCCAAGGTTTGTCACGTATGCGACCGTAACCTCCTACGATATGGTAGACAAGCTAAGAAGGCGTGGGATGAAGAAGGTAAGTATCTCGGGGAGGCTCACTTCAAGTGCGGGACGTACGCAAAGAAAGGAGAAAAAGCGGGAAAACCCTCCACGCACTGCTTGCACTGCCACAAAAGATTTGTGGAGGACTTTTACATGGATAAAGTGCTGGATTATTGCCCCTTAACGGGTGCCTACATAGGAGCAGCCCATTGGAGATGCAGAACGCACATAGACCCAGAGATGGAGATTCCCGTATTCTTCCACAACCTTCGCGGATATGACTCCCATCTGCTGCTGCAAGGTACGGATGGTTCCGACGTCAATTTCATACCTAACAACAAGGAGCGTTACATGTCCGTAACCGTAGGCAAGTTAAAGTTTCTAGATTCACAGCAGTTTATGGCGGACTCCTTAGCAAACTTGGTGAAGTATAACACGGAGTTCCCCATTTCCAGCAAATACGGTGCAGAAAGGAAAGGAGTGTACCCATATGAGTACATGGATTCCTGGGAGCGCTTTGAAGAGCCCTTACCACCCAAAGAGAGATTCTACAGCACCTTAACCGAGTCTGGAATAAAGGACGAGGAGTACCAGCACGCCTTAGACGTGTGGGAGAAATATAAGTGCCAAACGATGGGAGACTACCACGACATTTACCTACGATCAGACGTCGTTCTACTAGCCGACGTATTTCAGAGCTTCAGGAAGATGGCTATGTAGTACTACGGGTTGGACCCCGCAAACTTCTACACTGCACCTGGATTATCCTGGAGCGCTCTATTAAAGAAGACCAACGCGCAACTGGATCTACTAACGGAATACGATATGTATCGCTTTATGGAAGACGGTATTCGTGGAGGCGTTTGCGGGCCCAGCAGACGACATGCAAAAGCAAACAACCCACTAGTAGAGCATGATCCGGAGAAACCAACGACGCACATACTTTACCTAGACGCTAACAACCTTTACGGTTGGGCAATGTCACAGTACTTACCAGTGCGGGACTTTGAATGGGA